CACGTTGTAGGCAGCCTTGAGGCCGCCGTTGTCGGCGATGTTCTCGCCCAGCGTCTGCCGCCCGTTCACCTTCTCGCGGTGCACGGTGTAGCGGCCGTACTGCTCCGTCATGCACTCCGTGCGGTTCTTGAAGGCCTCCAGCGAGGAGTTCTGCCACCAGGGCCGCAGGTTGCCCTCCTTGTCGTACTCGCGGCCTGCGGGGGGGTGCCGTGGGGCAGCGGCTCGGGGGGCAGCGGCCCCAGCCAGCCCCCCATGGAGGGGGTACCCGGAGAGACCCCTCCCTTGGCGTGCGTTAGGGCTGCGGGGACGGACTGGGGGCATCTGGGGCACCGCTTGGGTCTGGGCGGACTTGATGTGCTTGGGTCCCCGAGCATCCCTCGGTGCCACCCTGCTGCTCCCAAACGCCCGATTTCTGTCACCCCCGGCCCCCCCATCGCCCCCAGCTCCTGCCCGCTGCCCCCGTGGTGAAGGTGCAAAGCAGAGCAGATGTGAGAGGATCCCCGGTCCCGCACCCTGGGGGGAGGATGAGCATGAGGCGGCGGGGGGCCCGAGCTGCAGACACCGTGTCCTCACCAAGCGGATGGAGCGAAAGCTGCACAGAGAAGCCAGGGGGAGGTATCGGCGGGTGCCACCTGGGGAGACAGGACGATAGAAGGGGGAACCAGCCAGCCAGGGGGGTGCAGCGCAGCCCGGGCACGGACACACACGAGCGATGGATGGCAAAGCGGAGCCCCGCCGCGCGCCCCTCTTCCCACGCTGAGGGTCCCGGGGTGGGCAGGGGGCTGGGGAGGGGGGTCAGGACGTGCGTGGGGGGCAATCTCACCTTGGTCATCGAACGCGTGGGTCAGCTCGTGGCCCATCACCACGCCGATGCCGCCGAAGTTGAGGGCTCTGTGAGGCAGCGGGAGAGCCGGGTCAGTGTCCCCGCGCCGGCCCCTCTTCCCGCCCGGCTGCCCGTGTGTTCCCGGGAGCTGCCACCGCATCCTGCGCTCCCGCTCCATGTCCTGGGCATCCCCTCCATGCCCTGGGCACCACTGTGTGTCCCGAGCGCATGCTGGGCGCCTCCGAGGCTGCTCCGCGGGGCGCCCAGACCGGGGCCACCGGGAGCTGGGGGACACTCCGCTCTTTGGGGTGCCCCGGGGCGCCCTGGCCGTGCTCACTTGGGGTGGTTGCGGGCGTAGAAGGGCGCCTGCAGGATGCCGGCGGGGAAGACGATGCCGTTCTTGGTGGGCAGGTAGTAGGCGTTGACGGTCTGCGGGGTCATGCTCCACCTAGGGCAGGCACCGGCCGTGGGGGACGTGGGGGACGTGTCCCCTCCCGCTGCGTCCCCCAGTGTCATCCCATAGGACGGGCAGCGCCCTGCTGGGGCTGGGTGCTCCCGTGTTCCCCCCGGCCGGGTCCCGCAGCGCGGGCAGCTCCTTACTGGTCCCGGTTGGGGGGTTTGCGCAGCTGGTCGGCCATGACTTTGGCGGAGAAGTTGTAGAAGTTGAGCATGTTCTGGAAGAAGGAGTCCTCCGAGACCTCGTACTGGGGAGGAAGAGGACGGCGTGAGGAGGGAGCCCAGCCCAGGACCCTTCTCCTCCACCCTCCCGGGCTGCACAGGGACATGATGTCTACAGAGGGGTCTGATCAATGTCCTCTCCTGCCACACGGGCTTCCCACCCAGCTCTGCTGCCCAAAGGGTCCCAAACACCCTCCGTGGGGGCTGCAGGGCTTGTTTGGGCTCCCAAACACCCTCCGTGGGGGCTGCAGGGCTCGGCGTCAGCCGGGTGCTCTCCTACCCCGTCATAGACATCGTCCAGCTCCTTGTTGTCCAGGATGAAGTCTGGGAAGCCGATCATGTCATAGATGGCATCCGCCTGCACGGAGARAGGCCCCAGGTGGTGAGACGGGGCCAGGGCATTTCCCGGGGCCTCCCACCCACGGCCGTCCCCGTGTCCGGGCACAGGSCTGTCCCTCTGTGTCACCTTCTCCTTCGCAGCCTGTTTGGTCTTTTCGTCCATCCAGTCGAGCTGGTCCAGGGAGACCTCGAACGCCGTCCGGATCTCGCTGATCATCTCCTCAGCCTGGGGATAGGAGGGAACGCACCCCTGCCCACGGTGCCCGCRCCACCCCGGCCACCCCTCACACAGCGACGGGGTGGTCATGGGGGGGTTGTGGTGGGGAATGAAGGGGCGCAAGTGTCCTCACGATGGCCTTGCTGTCCCGGTCGAAGGTGGCCTTGACGAAGAGGGAGCCCAGGGCGAACCCCAGCGTGTCATCCGTGTTGGAGATGCAGGTTTGCCAGCGGGGCGTGCAGGACTGTGGGGGTGAGGGGGAGCCGGGTGACCCTCGGGAGCACCCCCGCACCCCCGGCCATCCCTGCTCCCCTCCCTGCGCCCATCAGCAGCCTAAGCCCTTGCACCCCAAAAGATGCTGYGTGGGGCATCTCTGCAGCATCCTGTGTCACTGCTTCCCAAGGGCATCCCAAGGTCAGGGGTGGTCCCGACCGCCCCTGYGTTGGTCCCGGCTGAGGGGGCTCATCCAGTGTCCCCCCGTTACCTTCCTGGTGCCRTAGAGCGTCTCCAGCAGCCTCTCCTGGGCCGTCTCGAAGCGCTGGTCCAGGCTGGAGGCTGTTTTCTGCACCAGGTTCCAGATCAGGTAGTTGTTGAGGATGCTGCGCGGGGCACAGACACACCACAGCTCACCGCGGCCTCGCTCTGCACGGCATCCGCCTCCATCCCCGCCCCGTCCCAGACGCGTCCCCGGCGCGCCGGGCGCCGCGGGGCCCGCCGGGCGCCGCACCTGCGCTCGGTGCCGTTGATGAGCTCGGAGAGCTGCTGCAGGTAGGCGTCCCCGTACACCACCACGGGCTCCGTGTCGGCCAGCTCCAGCGGCGCCAGCGCGTACGCCAGGTAATCCAGCCAGTCGATGGCCGGGGCCAGGGCCTGCGGGGACGCGGGGCGCTCAGCGCGGCTCTGCCCTGCCACGCGTGGCGAGTGGGGACCGCTCGAGACGGTCCCCGAATCCCGGCGCTCCCTGCAGCTCCCTGTGCTCCGGGCCAAGGAGAGGGTCCCCATGCACAGGGAGGAGGAAAGGGAAGAGTGGCAGTTCCCGCTACGTCCTGATGATGAAGTGAAGGGCACCTGCGCTGGYACCTGCAGGATGGTCAGCGCTGCCCGAGGACAAAGCTTCTGTCCCTGTGTGTCCCTGGGGAGCCATGCCTAGCATTGCCCACGGTTGTGCCCAGGGTTTTGCCAGGCTCTTCCCCGCTGCGGGGGAGCCCAGGCCGGGTCAGGCTACCTGCAGCTCGGCGATGCTCATTTTGTGGTAGATCTTCTCGTCGTCGCGCCGCTCGGCCTGCGGCACGGTGATGTTGGCCAGCTGCGTTTCCAAGTCCAGCACCTGCTGCATCTGGAGCCGCGTGGGCTCCTTGGCACCCCCCAGCAGCATTCCCAGCTCCACCATGTAGTCCAGGTACGCCGCCAGGACCTGGCAGGACCCCGCGCCCGGACTCAGCAATGTCCCCAGCCTCGTGGTCCCAGAGCCATCTCCCAGGGGCCTCAGAGCCACTGCCTGTGTGGCACYGTGCCCATTGCAGCCCCATGGGGTGCAATGGCCCCGTCTGCATGCACACSCCGTGGATTTCGCCCAGCCTCACCTTCTCGTTGGCAGTCTTGTTCAGGTAGTAATCCCGGGAGGGCAGGAAAAGCCCCGACTGGTCCACCTGGGGGAGCGGAGAGGCGGCATGAGCCACCAGCGTGGCCAGTGTCGGCGGCCCCGGTGCCTCGGAGCAGACCTGGATGATGTTGCTGTTGGAGCTCTTGGAGTCGGCACCCACATACACCGTGAAGAAGGGGGTCGCCCGGTACGTGCCCGACACCAACTTGAGGACCTCCATGAAGTTGCTCTGGTTCCAGGGCCCCGTGATGTTCCAGCCGCCGATCTGCTGGCGCACGGCCCCGCTGCCTCAGGTGCTGCCCCGTGTTCCCAGGGGACGTCTCCACGTCCAGGCCCCCCCCGTAGCTGTGCCCAGGCCTGGCGGAGCTGAGCCCTGGCAGCTCGCCTCACGCGTGAGCCCCCTGCGCCCACCTTGTCGATGAGCTCCACGAGCGGCTGGGAGCCCAGCTCCTCTATGCGCTGCTCCTTGAGGCACGACAGGTAGTAGCGCTGCGTCTTCCTCTCCGCCTCGCTGCTGGAGTTGAAGGTGGCGTTCTCTGYGGGAGAGCCAGCCCGCGGGTGCCACCGTGCGCGGGGGGGTCCCCAAGAGCAGGTGGCTGCCGCTGGACCCCCCCATGCCCACCTAGGAGGTGCTTCATGATGGCCTGGTTCTGGTCCCAGATGCTGTTGAAGGTGCTCCACTTGGAGCGGCCGTTGGGCAGCGGGTTCCTCCTGATCCAGCCGCCGCAGGAGTACTGGTAGAAGTCCTGGCACGGGTCCGCCTCGGGGTCGAGCGCCTCCAGGATCTTGCTGGCCACGCGCACGCAGGCGTCCGTCAGGCACGTGCTGTGAGAGGGATCTGGCAGGGGAGGCATTCCCGGCGGTGGGCACGTGTGGGGGGGACGCCGGGGCACGGAGCGGGGCAGAGCCAGGCAGCCCCCCCGGCCTCCAGCCTCCCCTCTGCACCCTGASGGGGTGCTCATGGCCGGGGGGTCGGGGGTTCTCTGGGGTTGTCTCTCAGCCCCAGAGGAAGGTCCCCAGGGGATGCTGAAGCCGGAGTCCCCGTCCCTCCCCATCCTGCCTGCCCGTGCGGTTGGGGCCGCCACGTTGCAAGCCGCGGGGCCCTCCCTACCTCTGCGGTACTGGATGGCCAGGGCGACGACGGCGACGCCGAGCAGCAGGGCCAGGGAGACGGCGACGGCGCAGAGCGCCAGCTCCAGCTGCGTGCGGGCGGCCAGGCGGCTCAGCAGCGGCGCCGTGCCCTTCCGAAAGCCCACCTGGCAGGGACAGCGCGCGGGTCACCGCGTGCATGGAGCACCCGCACCCGCTCCCTCTTCTGTCCCCCCGGCTTTGCAGCACACGGGGACGGGAAGGTGCACGGGGACATAGCAGGGGACCAGCCCAGCACTGCTGGGAAGGGGCCGGCAAGGAGGGAGCGAGCTGGGTGCCTCAGCATCCCCTTGGGGCTGCCGGGATGCGGTGTCCCCTGAGGGGACACTGATGGGGATACCCCTCCCCAGCACAAGGACAGACYCTTCCCTCCACAGCCTCTCTGCTGCATTTTGGCCGCCTCCCAGTGCCACCCTGCAATGGGTCCCAGTGGCCCTGGAGGCTCTGGACCCCGCTATGGTGCCCCCAATGTGCACACAGGCACCGGGAACACCGCGGGGCTCGGAGGGGACGCCTGGGGACTGTTCTCACCTCCACGCTGTCGGGAGAGGTGCCACCATCCCCCGCGGCCTCGGGGCCCTCGTCGTCCTGCAGTGTGGCGCGCTTGTAGTCCGGCATCTGCCGGCRGGGAGAGCCGGCTCGGAGGGGAGCCCGGCCGCGCGGCACCGGCGCTCACAGCGTTGGGAGGCACCAGCCCGGCCCTGCGGCGCCCTGGGCTCTATCCCKGGTGCTACGGCCTTCCTCGCCCTCCGCGCCCCTCCTCATGGTCCCGGGGGGCCCGAGGCGGGCGGCCGGAGCATCCCTCCGCGTCGCCATGGCGGCAAAGGCATCCGCCAGGTGCCACGTCGCCATGGAGACGTGGTCCCTGTCGCCAGGCAACCGGCTGCACCGTTGCCTAGCGCYGCCGCCTCGCCCCTCCCCCCGCCTGGAACTTTCCACGCAGATGTGCACGGGGCCCCGAAACATCTGGAAGCRCCGGCAGCCCCCGCGGGAGCCCCCGGCCCCACACGCTTGCCCATGGSCAGGCACAGCCTGGCAGGGGTGGATGAGGGGAAAAGAGGGATTTGGGCAACTGGGCCAGGATCCCCCCGCGCAGCCGGCTTTCCGGGGCGGCCCCGTGTGGGCTGTTTGTACCCAGCCAGACGCGAGGGCTGCCAAGAAATCAGCTAAGAAAGAAGCAGTGGAGATGAGCCAGGAACCTGGTGGGGGGGAATGAGCTGGAGGAAAAGGCTGGATGCTTTGGTAGAAGAGAAGCGACAATGCTGATTTCAAAGACGTCCTTAGGCTTCAGAGTTAACACCCTGGTGGGTTGTGGCTCACCCTTCTCACCCAAAACTGCAGGCTCAGGCAGGTGCTGTGGGACTGTCTGCAGGGCCAGTGTTGGGGACTGTGGAGGACCCAGGGACATGGGGAGAGGATGACAGGGAAGGGGTGCAGGGGGGCGCCTGCCAGGATCCTGCCCTGCCCGGGCGGGGGGCACAGCGGGGGCTGCCCAGGCCCAGACCCGAGACAGCAGGCAGTGACAGCTGGCAGGAAACCCCTCCCCAGGCAGGTTCCCGGGATCTGCCAGCATCGTTGAGGGGTGATTTGGGGTCTTGAAGGGGCTCAGTGAGCCAGACTCTCCCAGCACAGGCTCCTCTGCTTGGGGTGGTCCCATCACCCCATGATCCAGCTGTACTCCCTCCCCTGCACTGGGGCACCCCCAAGGCCAGTGTGGGGCTCCTGCTGCTCCCACTGCGGCCTGTGGAGCCAGCCGWGGCTGCCCGGGGGGCTGGCTCAGGGCCCCCATAGGCACCAGGGCTYTGTCGCCCACCTGGCTCTGTGCCCTCTGGGGCAGGGGCTGGGAGTGCCCCCTGTGTCCTTTGCAGTGATCCATCTTCCCTGCCCTGAACAGAGATCCCTTCTCCCCCTTGGGTCCCTCCAGCGAGGGGTCTCCCTTGTTCCCCCCCAGCCCCTGTACCCCCCAGTCTCCTGCAGCCCCCAGGCCCATCCAGGCCCCTGCACCCACTCCTCCTTCCCAGCCGTCTGAGCCCTCCCAGGGCCCACAGGGCCCCCCCAGGCTCCTGGTCTCCCCCGACCCCTCCCAGCCCCTGGTGCCCCCCCAGCTCCCTCCCAGCACACCCGGGGGCTCCTCCCCGCGGCTCTCCCTGCCCCTCCGGCCCCATCTTTCGTCCAGATCTTTCCCTC